ACATACACCTAACGTATGAACTACGTGATCATTTTTTTTTTAAAATATACAACGTATACTTGAAATCCTGTTATACTATAATGGTTCAACTGGATTTCAGAAAGTCCTAAGACTTTGTAGATGATTTTTATAATATATAATATAATATAGTCATATTATGGATAATGTAAAAATCGGATTATCTGAATAGGATAAAACAGTGTAAAAACTTAAAAAGTAAAAAGTGTCCATAGGTTTTCAATTTATATTAAAGTCACTTCATCACTTAAACAGATCCATCGTATATACCTAAGTGTATATTAATATGTTATACTAATTACTAGTACCTTGGATGGACTTTTGCAATATAAAGAATTATAAATAACTTAAATTCTAATCACATTAAATCCTTAGCAAATTTTTAACTACTTTCAAATTTATCTAATATAAACGTGAGTAATCCATTTTTTTTTTTTAGTTAAAACTCAATGGAAATATTGCCATATTGGTGTGTATATTAAAGTCACTTTGCAAGCAGATGTTGACTACCTAGGTACTTAATTATGCTACTGTACACAATATAATATGTATTTACTATTTTAAGTAATAAATGTTTCTATAAATATTGTTTTTATTTTACCTAAATCTTCAACATTTCCATTCAAGTTTAAAATATCCAAGAAAATAATCCGATGACAGCCGATTATGTTTTTCTACTCGACCTTGAAGTAATGCAATATAATATGCAGTATAACGTACATAAAATTTAACTGCAATTTCCCGAGTACATAATATATGTATACAATCAAAATTGGCGAAATGCATTAAACATATGAATAAACTTTCAAATAACATCAAATGTCGCATTAATACAAGATTTTATCAAAATATTATAGTTATCTTTGTAACTTCAATTCTGATTAAACATTAAACGTTATGTTTAATTATATAATTAATTTTAAATCTCACACATCACGTTTTTCAGTCTAACTAGTCCAAGTAGTATAGCGAGACGTAGTCATACTATTATAGTGAAACGCCCATATAGTTAATTGACGAGCTTATAGTTGATATTAACGAGAAAGCTTTGAAATATATTAAAGCATCAGATAATAGATAAAATGATTATACTTAATAGACCGCGCCTTAATTAAAACACGCGTAGTACACGATGCAGTGATGTGAAAGCAATATAATTTAGTTTTAATGCATAACATAATTTTATAACAATCCATGTTTTAAGGACTTAAGACATTTAGTTCTTATTAAAAGCTGTATGTATTGGAAAATGACTACGAGACAACTTTTTTTTTTAAAGTTTATTTTATAATTTATACCTATTACACAAGTAATTAATTAATAACGTTCCATCCATGAATAAGGAAATATAATATTATAATCTTAAAGTTAAATCAATTTACACTTAATTTTATATTTTGTATTATTTATCAATATAAATATATTATATTATTATTATATGTTATGTATATTATATAAAAAAAAAATAATAAAAAAATCTTGTGGTATTCTCTTAAATTATCCAATCCGAACTAAAACGAAAAAATATAAAATCATTTTTATTCTACGTATTCTGAAAAAATAAGTTTGTCATTTCCGAATTCTCCGAGGTGCTGTTAAGTTATATGATCCTTACGTGCTTTGTCTTTCCATTCATATCCTTCATTCTGTCTTGGAAATACATTTTTAAACTAAATCAAATTTAAATTTAAAAATGAAATACTTTTCTAAAGATGATAAATATATTTTTACACCGAGCAAAATTATATTTATAATAAATACAGAATAACTTATCAGAATTAAATTTAAAAAAAATTAAAAGGAGGAAAATAAGGTAACCGCTCTGCTGTACAGAAAACTGTAAAGGTGTCGAGTGTAATTTGTCATTGAGTAAGTAATTATAATGTATGTGGTAAATTTCAATTCAATGATAAATCATTGTACGAAAAACGATTCTGAGCAAAGCTGTCTGTCAGCCTATATTCCCTACTATAAGTATATTTTAATATTATTTGAATATTTGATATATTTATACTACTATTAAAAGGAATTCATTTTACTATTAGTAATACCATTGATTATAAATACTGATAATTATAATTAATGGTAACACGTTGGCTGAATTAACGTTTGACGAAATTATCGCATTTGAAAATGTTATTGTGTGTATAAATTTATTGTAATAATATATATTAAAAGTTTTAACATACAAATAATATTTTTAAATTACAACAAAATAATTGATATCGTTTTTTTCGTTTAAAATATATTATCAAATTTCGTCCAAACTTGAACTTAAAATGTATATATGAATTTTCGGTGTAATTGTGAACTATTTATGAGAAACCTTGCATTCATTTTTCAACCCTCATTAGCTGTTGAACATAAATTGATTTTGGCAATTTGTGTCAAAAATTGAACTTTAAATGCTCATAAAAAAATTGTGATTTTGATCATATAACTAAAAAGTTAAAAATGTACGATTATACCTAGTAAAGATAATTTTTAAAATAAAATGTCTTTTAAATGTGTTATAATATACCTTTATAGCTATATACTTTGGTTTTTATATTCGATTTAATATGGAGGCGGACCACTAGAAAGGACCAATAAACGTGTGAAAAATATGTTCTTTTTAAAACTTTGTTAATTTTCACATCTATTTAGTTTCTACAAATAATATTTATATTTTAAAATGTTACATACACTACAATAAACCCCCCTTGCGTATACAAATATTTGGGAATTTCGCAATATTTCTATAATATGTTGTTGAAATAATATTGTTTTTACGGTATAACGTAGAATTTCTAGGAAGTTCATCATCAGAGTTTGTTTCTAATTCAATATTTCCCGAAGGCCTTTTCAATTTTATATTGACCGCTATAGCTTTATACTGTTCGCAGCACGTTCCAATTTAATAAACAGTGTTTTGTGAGAATAATGGACACAGACTTTTATATTTTCAACAAAAAGGTTCACCTATATAGGAAGAAACAAATCAGACCTTCATTTTTGAAAGCTTCGATACTATATTCCTTAAAAATGTCACAGAATAATACTTCACCAAGAAAATAATATATGTGACGTCGTCATCCTCCCAACCGGCTTTTATAAATATTATTATATTACTTATTTACTTATATCAGATACTATAAAACGGTCATATAAATAACGAAGAAATACTAAAGCCTCAATGCTTCCCTGTTTTAATACAATAGACATTATTGTGTATAATCAGTTTTTTCACTAGAGACAAACAAAAAGATAAAAACGTTTACATCTATATGAAAAACACTCATCTATTGAATAGGTATCAGACGGCAAAACTTAGCTTAGTTTGATAAAACAAACTAATATTTTTCAATGTTTAAGAAACCCTATATGAATGCATTTTTATATTACCCTTATGAAATAATAATGATATATCTATTTCATTTTCAAATTCTTGCCATTAGCTGGTTGACAGGTTATATACACAAAAACTATGTTGCTTAGTTTTTGAATAATTTAAAGTGTTATACTAGTGTCATTACTATTATTTTAAATTAATAACCGAACGTTTGAAATATTTAAAGCTCCTTATTAGAATACAATTATAATTTAAACTATCAGTGCGACAGTGCTAACCAAAATAATATTAGTAATTAAATAATGAAGTTAACAAAATCATATTGTAATAATGTATTACTAATAAAATATAATATGACCTATTGACCTAATATCCTAATAGCATTGAAATATATTATTATGCAGACATAATACTATATAATCATTAAAATAACTACTGGTTTCATATCCGGTATTAGAGAAATAAATATAAATAATATCACATAAACCTATAAAATGTGCACATTTGTGTACACAAATTTTGAAATTGCAATTAAAAATATAATATTTAACGTATAGTATAAATACGAGGTTAAAGATTCTTGAGCACAGACGCATTCAAATTGCCTAGCTGTTGCGCCGACATTTCACAGTAAGAAAGCGAATAAGAGTAGATTTCTCTTGGGGTTATAATTTCCATTACGCCAAAATGTGTAATCCTTCACCTAAGCTCGTGCAGGGCTTTCAACTAATAACCCATTACTGTTGATCTGGATTACAATATATAATCATAAGCCGTTTCACAAATACTTCATATTATATTAAACGCGCTGCAGGAGTCAAATGGCAAAACGATATTAATAACAATTAAAATGACAACAGAAAATCCCCCATTTCGAAGTAGACTTATAATTTTCCTCATTAAATTTAATTTGATATGTGTATCGATATAATAAAATAATTACAGTGAAACATCTATAATACATAGAAGATATCACAAGGAAAATATAGGGTGTCCGTTATAAGGGGTGTTCGTAAATTTGGTGTTTCACCGTATTATATTATTAATATTGTCTTATACAAATTTATAATATACGTACACGTTTCATAACCCCTTATATAATTTAATATGTTGTTTTTTGGATTTACATCATATTATTATTTATTCATAACTGTTTTGGTCCTATATTATTAGCAATATTAGGTACATATTTAAAATCGTTTATTTATTTCCACTTTATTCGAGACAAACACAAGTCATAATATTATATCTAAATTACTTATTAATTAAACATCGTACAAACTATACAAATAACAATACAGTAGATTAATATACGAGCTTACAATATATGTTTGTATTAAAAGTAGGTAGAAGGTATATATTACATGTTATTATTTTTATATTTCAAATCCATAATACTAAATAGAACGTTTTATGTTTTCTGGTAAAATATTCTATAAACAATAAACTTAATTTCATCAATATTTAATTATAGCTCGTGTTGCTGAAATGTATCAATAAAAACTAATAGAAAACGAAAAGAATTATATTCATACCTTATATAATACTGTAATAATAATAATATAATTAATTGCTCAAAGTATTCAAAGCCATTGAAAAATTTTCTATTTTTAACAATAATAATCAAGTAAGCGCTCTCTATCATTATTACCTTCAAGTAGTCCTGTTTTTCATCACCGCAATCTATTGGAGATTTCACGAATTCAATGCGGCCACCCTCTATACAAATATTAGGGGTAGTTGTATTTCCACCGTTGATGGTCGACATTTTCCCCGAAACTCCACCAATAGGTGGCGGCACAGTTTCCAGTTTTCCATATCCTACGGATGCCGTATCTGACGACACTAACACCGGCTTTAGTGTTTCGTATGTTACTGAATAATGTGAGTTGTTATCACACACCGGATACATTTGTCTAAAAAACAAAATATAATAATTATAGACTTTTTAATATACATAATATATTTATTATCAAATGAGCACAACAAAATATTTCTTTAAAATAAATTTCAATAATAAATAATCATCGCAACAAGCTACCAATTCAAATAGAAATTTCAAAGTGAAACCAGTTTGTTTAAGAAACTTATTCTTATTTCTTATTCAATAATATAGTTAAATAATGTAGTTAAAATAAAAGATTACTAAAATACATATAAAATTATAGTATTATTATCACTAGTTATGAGTATAATTTATTAAAAAAAAATAAAAAATAACTAAAGCTTGATGAATTTCAAACATATGGTTTATATTGTCTCTCTAGTCTCTACATATTAACTATTATAGAAAAAATAGGCAATAATAATTTTAAAAATAAAAGAGCATTAGTTTTATTAAAACAAATTTATAATATAATATAGGTATCGGGCTAATAGAAAAATCAATTATAGTAAAATAGTTCTACAAAAAAAAAAATTCATAACACATATCAAAACGATGCATAATTCAGCATTTAAGATTTATACAATCTTTTTAGTGTTTATTTTTTAAAATATCTAAAATGAATTCTATACCCATATATCGTATTTCTAGTACAAGATTTAAATAAATAAATATTACATAATTTTATCTACATTTAAAATTATTTTATGAGTACCTAAATATTTAATTTATTTATTTAGGTACTTATAGACATTATTTTGTTGAATTGTTCACTATTTATCGAAATTAAAAAGTAATAAAAATTATTTAGCATCAACGTTCTTCATTATTACCAGTATTTGATTTAAGTACTAATGTACCTACCTACTATTGTAAAATCATAATTTATAAACAACAAAATATTTCAATATAGTAAATTAGTAACTGATTTAATTAAATTTAACCGGTCTTTTATTATATTATACATGTATAAATGTATAATATTTAAAATTATTGTATAACTAATACTTAAATAATAATCCTAATATTTATAATATTTTTTTAAATATGTTATTTCTTTTTGGTACCTATATTATACTGTTTTTAAAAAGTTTTTTTTTCTACTAATATATTATATTAAACTATAATCACACTGACATAAACATAACGCATTTAGAACATATATATTATATACTACCTAATATAAAATATTAAAAATATGCATTCAATATAAAATAAAATAATTTATTGATCGAAGTACCTGTATAAAAATGAAAAACCAATATTTTGTATTTACCTACTTACGATTCAATTTTGATAAAATTCCATAGGATATGCCTAATATATTTTACAGTACGATTATACATTTATACGAATAAAAAAATAATTAAATCGTTTATTATTATAATATAAATCACGACTAAATACAACAGACATGTCAGCAAAAATACACGTATTTTCCCGAACATTAGACTTGGAATAAACGGTAATTAATTGGAATAAATAATATATCTTTAATTGGGACGTTGATACGGAATTCAGCGTAATAATCTTTTAGAATATTTTCCATGATATTTTCTATGATTATCTCGTCTATTCCAAGTCTGGGGCACACTTCATGCGCAGAACGATTTTGCCGACACGTCTGTTTCAGTCATCATTCAGTAATGATAATATAAAAACACTAACATTTATTTTTTCAAAAAAACATATATAATATACTATATATATCAATATTATTTTTAGCACTGTGGATAATTCCGAGGAAAACCAGGATAATCCGCAAAGCGGATAATCGAGAGTTTACCAAACATACATCGATATTACTTTCGATCAAAATCGAGGACGACTATACCGTACTCCGTAGCCTGTATGTATAATATACGTAGGTACAGAGTGATTCAATAATCATGCACATACCATAATAATATGTCCCTTTGACTATGAATTCATTCAAATTCTAATTTTTGGAATTTTTAAGTAGGTAGCAGGTAGGTATATATAAAATGTTTATTTTCACATAGTTATATTTGTTATGATATAAAGGAGTATTCTGTTGTCGTAATACAAGCTTCTTTTTTTAAATAAGAACAAGACCTAACCTAACCTAACCTTTTTTCTGTAAATTGTAAATCAGATGATTTTTAAAAAAAAATTTGAGTAGTTACTGAAGGAATGATGGAACTTAATATATTATTATAGTTAATATAGCCATATAGGTATTTAAAGATATGGGAATTACCATGGTATTATAGTATTGCCTACTAATTAGAATTAATATATTAGTAACTACCTATTTTATAATTTATGTAAAACCGGTATTAAAGAATATTAGTACATGGCACATGCTTTATTTAACAACTTAGAAAATAATCGTTTTAGTGTTATTAATATTAAACAAAAATCATCTGCAATTTACAGTAAAAATGGTGGTCTACATTTAAAAATAAAAATAAAATTGTATGGTCTCTGTGGTAACTGGTAATTCTGGAGTGTACACTCCTTAAATGGTATAATGATCCAAGTATCTAATTATATGGTATTTGAGACTTGAGTATGGAAAAAAAAATATAATGAAATTCGATGCAGTACCTATTTAAGCATACAATGGGGTGAGAATGCTATTGAAGTATCATTCTATTCCTATATATAATATTACGTAAGCATGTATTAAACAAAAATAAATTTAAAATGAATAAGGAACCCTATTCATATAATATCTCGACGTTTCTCAAATAAATTAAGTTATATTATTTTTATTAACGGTGAGTATATTTACATAATTTCTCACCAAATACACGATAGGTAGTCGATATGCGGTTACAGCGATATGATCTCACCAAACGAGTGAGTTGTTTTTCGATATGTACATGTACCTATGCACAGTAGTCGTACTCATCAAATACCATAATAATAGTGTTATATAATATAATAATATTGTGTATTTGATCATAATATTATTATAATACCTATATATTTATGTCATATGTATTATTGCTATGATGCACCTACACTTACTATGTTATTATCATATCGTCGCTACCTATTTTACAACAAGTAAAATACATAGGTATTCTCATATCAATTCTCATATTTCACGTCGTACGTGTCGTCTACGTGGGTACCTTTAGGAATCGGGATTCTATAATATTGTTTACGCACGACAATTAGGTATATAAATATTATTTTATTTTACGAAGGCAACAAGTTGGTATATACCAGCTAATATGTAATTTTTCCCCTGATTAACATTGAGATTAGAGTGGCCAATTGTAACACTACAATTTATTTTGTGCAACGAGTTTTTTTTATTTCCTGTTTATTGTGCACAATCGATAATAGCTAATCAATTTTTGGTCGGTAAATAACTATAATATACAGTTTAATATTATTATGTTATCATCGGCTAACAACCACAAAATAGTGAAAGGTACTTGTGTTATACACGAGTCGTGAATGTCAAGAAATAAGATCGTATTGTCCTCGTGCGAAAATGAATAACTTTCATCGCATACAATATATTATACCTGGTTGTACCTACCTATGTTATGTTATACGACTGAGTGTCATTACAAAGTTGTCCATAAATAATAACGTAATAATGCGAGTTTAATATAGGTAATATGTTACTTGTGGCCCAATCGGTCTAGAGTTGTATAATTAATATGATTATAATTTTCTACTAAATGCGCACCTACGTTTAAACACATTTACAGTTTGTATACATTTCAATACTAATTATAGCATCATTTATCTATAGCGACTAGTATTATAGTGCACCTAACGTACGGCTTGTATTTACTCAAGAACAATAAGTATTTCAAATAGAATTAATGAAACAACATATACAGTTTTAATATCCTGTTTGTTTTATACCATCAAAATAATTAAGAGCAATAATGTTCAACTCCGGAATAGAACAAACCCATGAACATAAAATAAATAATAATGTATACAATTTAAGCACAACTGCTACAACCTTATAAATGTATATTAGGTAATGCAAACAAACAATTCAATTACCTAGATCTACAAAAGAACTATTCAAAACAAATAAATACCAGGTATTTAAAATGAAATTAATGTCTTGCATTTCTATTATTTTTGTGATATACAGACAATAGTTAAGTGCATATTTTATAATAAAATAAAAATCGTACATTTAAACGTTCATATAAAATATTTACAATTTTTATTAGCCCATAAAAATAATAGAACCTACCTATATAATATTGATTGTACTTTAAAAGTTTAAAGTTTGGTTCGACCGCACATAAAATTGGTCTTTTTATAAAACTCTTGAATAGTTTAATTAATGTAAATAGAATAAATTATTTTAGAACTATTTTTTGGACGATTTTAGTATGGCAATACTGTCAATACTAGTTTCTATAAAAAAAAAACCATAATATCCAAATAATATTTCTATTTTCATTTTTTGCAATAGACATGGCCTTTAAAATATAACTATGGTCTATGATTATGTAGTGCAATAGTATAATTTAGAATTGATATTTTTACGAAAAGTTTAAAATTAAATTTGTTAAGTTTGTATCTAATAACTATTATTACATAGGTACGTACTTACTACATAGTACATTAGTACATACATTATCTGTCATATTGTAATATTCTATAAATTACAAAACGATATACGAGCGTGCACCTTTTCCAATACGTGAAACCAATATGTATCTTCGTGTATATTCGTAATAGAATTATTCTAAGGACCAAAAGTCTAAGCCTATATACATTGTATGTTCCATTTTAAAAAAGTGAAAAGTAAACGTCGTCTGGATGACCAAAGGTTATAGTGTTAAGTATACATGTATGGCCTCCCACGTTTTCCAACTACAGAATGTATAGTTGAAAATAAAAAAACATGCAGATAAATCATCGTAAGCTATGATGATGTTTTATAATTATAATTCTTCATTGTTATTTTTATGAAACGTTTATAATTAAATTTGTTTTAAAAAATCCGTCGAGTTTATTTCTAATAACTATTATTACCTGTAGGCACTTACTACTCAAATTACCCGTAGTCGTATACATTACAAAACGATATAGGAGAGTACAATTTTTCTGACGTGAAAAAAATACGCGCGAATCTTGAATATTCGTAATATTATAAATTATAATAATATTATTCCAAGAACCAAAAGTGTATAAGTCCGTATATACATTAATTTATCTTGCATTTAAAAAAAGTGAAACATACACGTCGGGATGTCGAAAGGTTTATCGTGTTCTATATACATATTATGGCCTCCCACGTCTTCCAACTGCAGAACTATATGCATAGTTTGAAATAAAAAACATGCGGACCGCAGAGTTTTGCGTGAATTATTACACGATAATAGCCACGCGGCGGGTACAAACACGTATATAATTTAATTATTATCAATCGAAAACCCACACCGAGTCGTCTTCGGCGTCGTTTTTTTTTTATTTTCAGTTCGTGTATAAATGTATATAATGACGACATAATAATATATACGACGATTATAATATATATGTATCATAATGTTACATAAACGCGTTATGGTGTGTATGAGCGTACCTCTATAATATTATAAAATAAATAAAAAAATCCCCGATGGCAGTGTATAATTATTATTATTATCAGTGGTAATGGTCGAAAACTCACGCCGCCGCTGCCGCCGCCGCCGGGCCACCCGATCGATAAAAGTTACGTCCGCTTCGGCGTTAACCCCGCGCGCGCTGCACACGATCCAAACCAAAGGTCAGCCCTGTTTGTGAGGCGTAAACAAAATGTACGTTTCAAGGTCGCCCGCAGTCGTATCCCTCCCGATTCTCTTTTCTCACCCACAGGGCACCACCATGCTGTCCAAGTCCTAACCCAACAGCTGATTCACACTGAACCCCATACACTAGCGTGTGTATAGTCGCTCATAATACTATGTGCTTACCTATTATATTATACTATGGTGTTAGGAAGGAACGAGTTCCAAGGGGGACGGATTCATTTTATCAAGGGAAAAAAACAACATTTTCCGTTCCTTTCGAGTTTCCATCTACACTGCAGATGTAATTATGTAAATAATTTAAATTAAAATATGGGTATATTTTTATTAGCATGTTTATTGGTGATCGTTATCGAGAATCGACGTTAATCGTTAAGACTTAACTATATAAATATTTCTTATTATAATAATATGGAAATCGTTGTCGAAGCGTCGAGAGAAAATAGCAATAACATTTAACAGTAAAAACAATTGTATTGTGATGCTGGTTGGAACTTGGGATTACCATTTGTGAATATATTTCAACTTTATGAAACATAATGATATGAAAACGTGTTAAATTATTATGGACAACAAGATTGAATGTAATCAGTAAAATCCTTAAAGACCTTAAAGAATCTACATAAATTATTATTACCTATTTTTTTTATCCTATTTGAAAAAAAAGGAACTCGTCAATTTTCTAAAGGAACGACAATGGAATAAATTCTTTTTTTTCAAGAAACAAGGAAAGGAATGAACTCGTTTTTTAAAAAAAAAAGAATTATTCCTAACTCCTTAGGAACGTGCCAAACACTGATATTGCATAACCTACTGTATTTTAATATTATTATCCTACAGGCGCACTATGAATAATGCTGTAAGTACCTATACATATTTTGTACGTCCTGGAGTCTGCGAGACCGTGACATACATCATGTCCGGTGTACGTGATCAAATAAATAAATTTCTATGCGTACAGTGTACATGACATAATATCATACGATTCCGATGGTTTAATGAAAATGAAAATGTATAGCGAATACATCTTTAATAATGTGCAAGTTTATTTAATACAGTTTACACAAAATATATTATTATAATAATTATTATGAAAGAGCAATTCGACCAAAGACGGATTGTACTTGATTACAATTTAAATAATTCATAAAACAGTTTTGAGTACCTAGGTAAAAAATATAATATTTGAAAAAATTTTAAAATAATTACTAAAAATGATTATACCACGAGGCGTAGACATGTAGTTGTTTACACTGGGCATGGATGGAATAAATAATAAATAATAATGAAAACCGTCTCTGTAGGTACAGGTACACATTAAACCACTAAACATATGTATTATGTATTCTGTATAATGGTGTTCAAGTTGAGATTCAACCCTAAACAATGTAATTTAAGCATTCTTATAATACCTATGTATAGAACAAATCCATCATATCATTATATCATTATATCACATTATATTATTTGCCAAACCTGTATCATTAAAAAATTATAATAATAATAATAATAATAATAATAATAATAATAATAATAATATAATAATGAATAAAATAAAATACGTCATCTACATATTTTATAGCAATGTATCATCAGGGGTTAAAGTGGGGGGGACACAAGGAGACTCAGTCCCCCTACCACTGACGGTGGTTAAAAAGCTTCCTCTTTAACAAGATAGGATTGTATACATTGGACATTGTACATACAATTATATATGGAACGCACAAGGCTATATGGAGATATTAGTCTCCTCTGAAATTTTTTCCCACTTCAAGCCCTGTGTATCATGACCAACACATGATGGTAATGAATCGAGCAAGTCACACAAACCCATGATATATAAAGTTTTCACCCCTACAATACATAGATACAATATTATATACTATATATACATATAGTATTTAGACATATAGTCGTACACAAATGATTTAGGTATCATTCGTACACGAATGAGTGAGATTTACCATGATTTAAAAAAAGTCCAAATAACGAACATCATCGTATATTAGATATTAATATAATAACTATAATATGATCACAGAAAATGCATAATATTAAAATGCATTATATTCATGCAGTTGAGCTTGTTTTAAATTTATATTGATTACATTATATTAACAACAATAATCAATGACTATCGATTAGTATAAACAATATTTACTGAACAAAAATATTTACGAAGACCGAGGATATGAATACTAATTGTATATCATACATTACAAACAACATATTTATTAATTACGTTGAGATAACTAAACATCCATTGTTTTATAACACTCTACACTAAATCAAAAACAAATATAACATACTTTATACAGCCTAATTCGGAGTCAAGGATAGTGAAAGAATACTTGGATTTTCGCAATTTAAGAAACATTTTTGTAAAACAATCGCTAGGGCGTTTTTATTGACAAATATACTTCCTAGTAAACAAAAATATTTTCATTCGTGTTAAAATACAATTATTATAGTGAAACGCCCGAACGTAATAATATTATACAAATAACGTATATACGGCGTGTTTACAGTTAATTTTAATTCATATTACACTACACATTATAATGCAATGCGATGTGTGTTTTTCCGATAACATTTATAAACAAGGTATTTTTTTTAAATCGAGTTTACTTAAGACTTGTAAGAATTTTAAGCTAAACAAAAGTAGTAATAGATAACACTGATATTAATAATATTCACCTGGTCGAACATAATTTGGATATACGTGAGTCCGGAAGCACATAAGCATTGATCGGTTCAGAGTATTCGTTGCCACAACTCAACATCAGATCATCGCCGTTTTCACTTTTCGTAACCCTAAAACACGCAATGATATTTTATCTTAATAAATTATTATAATATTTTAAGCAGATACAATGTATACAAAACTGTATAATATGACATTATGACAGAGCATAGTATGGCTAGTACTTATATATATGACTACATGAGAACTGCACATACGGTAACATAATATAATAAATTAAACAACTTATTATTATCTGATACCAATGTAACCCACGGATTCAAAATATGATAACTCGAGGTATCAATGCCAAGCCCTAAATGTGGGAGTAGAAAAATTCAAATTTCAGTTACGCATACGGCATACCGAGCCGTATTACAATATTATGTCGACTGCCCACGACGATCGTAATTACTACTACCAATACCTGCAAGTAGGTTTCCGAGGCCTATTAAACCGTTTAGGATCATTATATTATTTAAGAAGCCATTCATCATTGCTGTACGAACGCCGTCATAACACTCTAAATCATTTATTTTTTCGTTATTATTATTATTATTATGTGCATTTCTCGTCTACGTGGATTTACTCGATATAAATGGGAAATTATTATTATTATAATTTATAATTTATATAAGTTTACATAATGTATATTGTTAATATTATTAATAAATTGCACGCGTCGAGATATGCAGATAATTGTAATGTCAAAATCTCAATAAAAGTAGAAACAAAATTAATTAATATTAATAGTGGTAGGTACTAATACCAATAACCAGTGGCGTGTAACATGGGGTCTAAGTGTTGCTCAGGCAACACCTTAAATATGGGTAGGTGGGTATTGATAGAAGAAAAATAGTACATTTTAAAGGTCGGTATAACAGTATAATGAGGGGTAGGCACCTACAATTATTTGAGCAACACTAATTTTTTTTATGATACACGCCACTGCCAATAACGGATCATTACTGTAGCAGTCGATGTTGTTTGAGGAGAACCATAGGTATATAAAAATTTTGTTTGTTTAAAACTATAAGTAGCGTGCTATTAGATATTTTTCTTCTACAAGGAAAATTGAGGAATCATAGATAGGTATGTTTTGGGTATAGTATAGACGTGTAGTTTAAAAATTGAATACCTATCATAAAATGTAGGTTAGGTATCCTAGCTATAGTACCTAGCATGCTACATTTTGTTACAAACTAAATTGGTAATAAACAATGCGTTACGAAAACCGACCTCGCGAAAATCGGTTAGAAAAAAAAGTCGTACTCAGGCTACCCAGCCCAAAAACATAATATCTATGTTGAAATATTATTTTACACTCGCAAATCGCAATCCTTTATTTTCTTCGTTATTATTATTTTTGTGCATTTCTTGGCCACGTGAATTTACTCGATATAAATGGCAAATTATTTATAGTTCACATAATGTATGATATTATTATTATTATTAATATTATATTGCACGCATGGAGTGCTACTAATAATAATACCAATAACATAATATCATCACTGCAGCAGGATGTTTTGTTAGAGGAAAACCCTATAAAATATTATTTTACACTCACTCGTCGATGATAGAAGTGCTTACTTTAGTTAAACCCGGAAAACGAGGAAAACCCGGAACAACAAAAAGCCTACAATGATATATTTATTATTATTTTTTTTTTAGTGTTTCGCATTGCAGTGTTTCGCTTTTCAAAAGTAATAATGCAATAAAGAATACATGTAGTTATACAGGTAGGAATGATTTGAGTATTTGTGGCTTATATTTAATTCTTCAGTAAATCGAGATGCTAGATATGTACGAGAGCGACGATGATCTCAGATATGATCTATGAATTTGACCTCAACAACAATATAATTTTATAATATAACTTGTGAAACCCACGTACCTAAATACTAACAAGTTTGTCTACCTTATAAAAGTATCAAAATTACACGCACGATGTAATGTAGTTCGCATAAAAACATTTTTACATCTCTATTCTCCACTTAAAGGTGTAGGTAGGTATATATTACGTATATAAACATCTGCTGTTTTCTTACTTTTTGAAAAAAAAAGTCATTGTTATCGTTGTGTACAACTGTTATTATAGTAAACAACATTTCATTGAATTTGTACCTATACGTTTAATTTAACGAATGTATTTTATCAAAAATGTTATTTTAAACGAAACAAAGGAAGAAAATGTTATGAAAATCATATATAGAAAATACAAAAATTTTAAAATTAAAAGCATAGATTGATTTTTAAAATAAACAACAACATACATTAAATATTGTGTAAGTGTTTAGTAGTTGTAAATGTTATTTTTAAGTGTAATGTTGCTTATGGTTTACCATACAACCATACAAGTATAGTTTGTTTTATAAAACATCAAAGAAAATTGTATTTTTAATCTTAAGTTATAATTCATAAGGATTAAAGCAGCAATATTTATTTTGAAGAAGTTAAATCTAAAATTCAAATTAATAAAAATATCAAAATAATTTAGAGAAATTGATTGAACGGAGGATATACCACTACATATTATTTTCATAAACATTTGTTTTTAAATTAAAATATGGCATTAAATTAATTAGTTATTACATATTATACCGATATTGTATAAAGTTCAAACACCATCGCAATTTAAGTACCTACCTAAATGTTATTATTATATATCAATATCGTATATTCGTATGAGTAGAGAAACACGTGCTTAAAAAGAAATACTTATTTAAATTTAAAATAAGTAGGTACCTACGTATAATGTAAAAATTATATTTCAAGTACCTATTAAAAACTATGTTTAAACCCACTCTGGTGTAGATAAAATCAAACATAAATGAAAGAGTTAAAGTTAAATTATCTCATACAGGTAATAGCATTGAGTATGAAGTATAATATATACTCAATGGTAATAGTTAAAAATCATTCTTGCATAATCCCGACTTCGTCCATCTCACAGAAAATGTCAACGCCCATCATTATCATTACTACCTACTTATGTCAGTTCTCATATCTCTTATTTACAATTTGTAATTAACAGCCCGAAATCACCTACTATAATGGTATGTTATGCTTTATCTTAAACACTAATACTTACAGTATATACAGTATACCCAAAACCAAAGTATATAAAAATACAGAGTTAGTTTAAAAAATATATAATAATTTCGATAAAGATTTTAACTATAGGGATATACAGTGGCGTATTTAGGATTTTGTCATGGGGGGGGGATATGATTTTATCCAGTACTTATCAACTCGAGGGGGGCTCCGCCCCCCTCACCCCCCTAACTTTAAATACTTAAATATAAAACTACAATTTTACTACAATTTTTTTTATTTTTATTTTACAAAACAAAGTCTAGTTTTCTAGATGTTTTGGACAATTGAAGGGCTCTGTGCAATAATCAGACAGCTCCGTTTTATCATTTTTTTCAGGAAGCACATATTTAATGTTTAATATATATTTAAGTGAAGAATAATAAAAAGAAAAATTATTTTATATACTTAAAATAGTGATAAAAACTGTGGTACCCTTAATTAAGTTGATACATGAATATTTTTTACACTTTTAGCCACAAATAAGAAATTTTTCTTGGAGTTGTCTTGTTTATTGCTCGGAGTTATTAAATCTTTTTTTTTTTATTTTTTTTATAATGTAAAAATCTTACTAAGAATTAGTTTTTTTTATTTAACTGAGTTAATAATTATCATGTAATTATACTACAAACAGCATACTTGAGTTTTAAGAAAAAAAAACTAAACCTGTACATGATTTTAAAAATAAACAAAAAAATAGTTATAATTTCTGGACAATAAACAAGATAACTCCAAAAATGATTTATTGTTTTTAGTTTTAACTCTGATAAATATACAAATAAATTTATTAAAATAAGCTTAGTAAGTGTATAGAAGTCATAAGTTTTTCCACTAATAATATTTAGCTATATATAGTTTAAATATATTACTTTATGAATTTTGTTTATTCTTCAGTAATATTTCTACTTTAACCACTTAGTATTATGTTAACTGAAAAATTAAATTGTTATTCATTTAATTTTACATAAAAACTGGCTATCATACCTTAAAGATAGCGATAGGTAATAATATTAGTCATAGTAGAATGTAAACACATTTAACTACATTATAAATGATATGAACATGGTAAAAGATAGTAAAATAAAAATATTAGTAACATGGATATTTTATTTATCAGCTTGATTTTATCAGTCATTACTCATTACATATAATATCTTACAACAAATAAAATAATAAAAACCAATGAAATATTTATAACAAAACTATTAATTAACTTGATTTTTTATCAATCATAGTTAAACAGTAATTTGAAACAAAACTAATGATCTCCTTGATTCTTAAATTGTATAATAAAAATAATAAATAATATCACTCATAATAATTCAAATTTGAAATCTTAAACAAAATTATACTTCAAAACAATAAAATTAATAAAACAAAACTAATAATCTCCTCGATTCTTAAATTTTATAATAAAAATAATAAATAATATCACTCATAATAATTCAAATTTGAAATCTTAAACAAAATTATACTTCAAAACAATAAAATTAATAAAACAAAACTAATAATCATTTTGATTTCTTAATATTCTAAAATATATTTTCTTTAATATTAATATTAAAACTGAGTAACAATTTTTAATACCTAGTCATCTTCATCATTGGATATAGTACCATTGTTATCTTGATTAGAACTGGTTTCTTCAACTAAAGATCTATAGAACCAAATGTATTCAGGTGGAACATACTTTGATGCTAGGCATTGCACATCAACAAACTTGGCAGATTTAATTTCTAATGATCCATTATATAACAATTTAGGAATAGTTGCACATAAAGATTGTATATTATTCTCTACTCCTTTTTTTTCAAGGATAAATTATTCTTTACCAGTAGAATGTCCAGAAATACTACAAAATAAGCCAGCAGCTGCTCGCGCGCTCTCCTCAGTCCTCACTCTTTCGACGGCTCCCGGACTATCGTCTAATTTAGATTTAAAAAAAAAAAAAAAAAAACTCAAGCCTTGGGGGGGA